GGTTTAGGGTTTAGGGGCTTAGGGGGCTTTCCTTTCTTGCTTAAGGGTTCTTTTTGAGGGCTCGCTGTTGTTGATTCTGGCCTCCCCGTTGGAAGACCTCCCTTTCAAAGGCTTCCGGCTTAAGGCTTGCTTTTAAGGGTTGAGGGTTTAGGATTTAGGGTGTTAGGGTTTAGGGTTTAGGGGGGGTTCAGGTTTAGGGTTTAGGCTCCCTAGAGGTCTCAGATATGCAGGCGTTCGGGCCCCGAGGCCTTGTTGAGCTATTTTCGACCCTTTCAGCAACAGTGAGCAATAGTCATGGCATCCACAGTGGCAACACGAAAAATATCACGACGGGTGTGGTGGTCAGGTAGTCGTAGCTGTAGCAACAGTAGAAGGATGAGTAGCAGCAGCAGCATCTGCTGCAGCAGTAGTAGCAGCCGAACCCTAAACCCTGAACCCTATCCTGGAGGAAAGTCACACAGGACTCTGCTGATCACGCCGAACTTGGGCTTCCAAGCAGCTCCAAAGAAGCCCAAACCGTTTAGGGTTTAGGCTTTAGGGTTAAGGCTGTGTCAGCGTACAGAGCTCACAAGGCCTTTCTCCCAGTCGAGCCTGTGCGGTCGGCTTGGGGTGGAACGGCCTCCTTCATCCTCGTCTTTGCAAGGTTTTTTTCATTTGGGATAGTGTAAGAAGTGTGCCGAACAAATGCCGTCCCAAAAACACAGCCTAATATAGGAGCTTCCATAAATCAATTAGGGTTCGGGGCTATACCATATGGGTAATTCTCGAAATTAGGGTCCTTTTTTTGGGTTCCCAATATAGTACGGCACCCTTACAAAAAGGACCCCGAAAACGGACCGTATTTTAGAGATTCAAGCATCTACTCTACAAGTGCCCGAACGAGCTAGGGTACAAGGCATATATAGCTCACGATTCGCACCACGTAGTGAGGCTTGGAACAAGTAGTAACAATATCCGTTTGTACTATTAGTCCCTTTCTACTTTGTAATTACACTGTATAATTTACCCGAAACTCATGTTTTAGATAAGTGAAGTTTTGTGACCTAGGTAGTATTATTAGGGGTACCCCTTAAAGGGTACCCCTTCTGAGCCCTACTTTTGGCTCTCTTAAAAGGGACCTTATTGAGAGGGTCTATATCCCCAAGGGTCCCCCTAATCCTAGCTCCCATGACCGGATCTTGGAGCTGATTTGCTCAGGTCCTCGTGTTCCTCCCAGGCTGGCACGAGATCGCAGCTGGGAACAGCATCTGCTTGGCCAAATTACCGGTTCAGCGTTTCTCTAAGGACTTTAGGAGGGACCCTTAAAAGGGACCCGAGTAGGTTGTTGGGGTTCATATGGAGACTACGTGGCTATATAAGGGGTATATAAGGACTATACAAATTACTTGGAGGTTCATGGGTAGTTATAAGTGGGGTTATAAGTAGGGTAACTATACTTATAACCCATATTAGGGGACTTATATCCCCACTGATAACTACCCATGAACCTCCAAGTACCGGTTCAGCATTTCGGGTCAGAAATTCTTGGTCTCAGGGCCCATGGCAGATGCGAGAATTTCAATCAACACGGGGCACCGATTGTTCTAAGAAGGCACGTTCCGTATGATTGATGCCCGAAATACAAAGGGGCCCCTGTGCCCTTGTTGCTCTGGTGCTAACGAGCTTCGCTCAACCGGCAAGTCCCTTTACTCAACCCTAAACCCTAAGCCCTAAACCCTATTATCCCTAGATTTCGGAGTGTAGCATCTGGGCCCCCACGACTTGGGCAATGTAGGGCAGCCAAAAATAGAGCCCGGAAGGGTTTAATATGGGGAATATATGAGTATGACCTCAGCCCTAAACCTAAAACCCTGAACCCCATACCCTACTTAAGCCCTTCGGTAGGGGAAGTTCAGGTGGGCTGAAGCCGAACCCTTGATGCCCTTGGCCACTAAACTGAACCTACATGAACTCTAGGTGTAGGGTTTGGGGGTTCAGGGTTCTGGCAATACGAACTCCTATATAATAGCCTGATACAGGGGCCTTCACAATTACCTACATATTGTGGGGAACCCCCCATTCTAACTATGAAGGCCCCTACACTAGCCTACGCCCCCCAATTCCCTAGCCCACACCCAACTTCTCAAAGGACGAGCTCAAGCGAGGGCTTGTGCAGTGACAAGCCATGTGCTACTTCACCTCTTAAGTACAATTTCTAAACTCAAACCCTAAACCCAAAACCCTAAACCCTAAGTATGTGTCTGCTTCAGAAGGTCGGTGAGCTGGAACCCTACACCTTGAACCTTCAACATCAAACCACCCGCGTTCGCGTCGATCCCCCAACGTGTTTAGGACTTAGTCTGCGTTGACACTTTCAAGGGTTTAGGGTTCAGGGTTTAGGGTTTAGGGTCCGGGTGGGGGAACTGACACGAGGTACCTGACCGTTCCTGAAACGTTAGGTTCAAGTCTGTCCGCTTACTGGTTTCGATTGGTATCAACTGCACGGTCACTGGCAACAGCCCAAAACCCTAAGCCCTAGACCCCTCATTTTCTGTGTGAGGCTGTCGCTACGACTACACCGATGGACTAAATAGCCTCAGCAATCCCTCTAAACCTGCATAAACCCCACACCCTAAAGGCTATCTCGAGTAACTATAAAGTCGCAGATGTCTAAACTGTCTGACATGTAATTGTTATTTTTGCCATCGTTGACATTCCTGCACATCATCTGAAGTACCATGCCCTGTGGTATGTCGGGATGTGTGAAGATTGAACACAGCTCATGCAACGGGATCGAGATCAAGGTCTATTCGCCAATCCCAGTGAGCTTTTGCAGCACCGTTATCAACGACTCAAAAGCAACATGCAACTGATAGCCTCGTAGTGAAAGTCCAGATATCGTGCTTCGTCGACTGCGTCCTTTAACCTGAACCGGAACCAGTATTGGGAGGTAGTTTATTTGAGTAGTGCATGGGGGTACAGCACACTCTTGTACTCTGCCTTGGTACGTCTCTTATACTCTGAGTATATATGGATTATAGGATTGTCTTAACTCGTGGCAACTCATCATGAGTGAGAGTTTGGCTACGGCTTTTTGGATTATGGTTCTTGTTCGTAGGGTTCTCCAAAATTGCTTCCGAAGGGGAGTAGGGTTTAACCAACAACCCTGAGCTGCTAAACCCTGATCCCTTAATCCCGAAACCATAAACCACTATTTAAACCTCAACCCAAAAAGCCGCAAACCATAAACCCTGGACCCTATAAACCCTACAGCAGCCTTAAAGGCAGCCTTAAAACCCTTTCAACCTAAACCCTAGCCTTAAGGAATTCACACCCCAGGACTAAGCCAAAGGGTCCTAAGTACCTATATAGTAGAATGTAGGGTTCCCAGAACAGGAATTACTAGTATGGTTTGGTCAAGTATCTCCCATATAGGCACTTAGGACCCTTCAAGGCGACTTGAATGAAGACCCTAAACCCTAAACCCTAAACCCTAAATCCTAAACCCTAAACCCTTATATTCCCGGACTTGCAGCCCTGAGCTTTTCCCTTAGGGCAAGCTCCCACTCCGGGACCAGACCAAGGCCGTCTGCAGTTCTTTTCTGCATCGAGATCCTCAGCTGCGCATCACGGCTAAAGACGAGTTTGGAGTTTAGGGGTTTAGAGTTTAGGGATTGGGGTTTAGAGATTAGGGTTTAGGGTTTAGAGTGTAGGGCCTAGGGTTTAGGGTTTGGGGTTGAGGTTTAGAGTTTTGGGTTTAGGGTTTGGGCTGCTGTTCAGGACCGAATTCAAGATCTCAGGGTTAGAGTTTATAGGCTTACAGGATTTAGGGCCGAGATTTTAGGGTTACTGGGTTTAGGGTAGGGTTCAGGGATTTAGGGTCGAGAATTTAGGCTTCTAAACCCTAAACCCTAAACCCTAAACCCCTAAACCCTAAACCGAATCTAGGGTTCAGGGTTTAGGGGGTGGCGGTGCTCCGGTCGTCTTCGCACGGTGAGCCCGAAGATGCCACTGACCTCAGCTTCGAGCGATCCTAACCTAACGTGTAGTACCGGCTTCGGGAAACGTAGTGTTATATAGTTATGCTCCCGTCCACCCTAAACCCTAAATCCTAAACTCTAAACCCCTAAACCCTAAATCCAAAACCCTATGAACCCTAAACCCTAAATCAAAAACCCAAAACCGTAAACCTAAGGAACCGACTCAGGTATTACCAACCAGACTCGTAGTTACGGACCACCAGGGCAGTGCCGCAGTGAACCCGACAGCAACTTGGAAAGCCCCCATCGACCCCAAAGGGACCTAAGTACCTACTTTAGGTCTAGGGTTAAGGGTTTACAATCTTTGACATTGGAGGTTCCAAACCCTAGGTAACTCCAAGGTCCCAAGCTCTATAAACCCTGAAACCTTAGTGCTAAGCCCTGAATGCTACAAGCTGTACGACTTTCAACTCTAAACCCAAAGCCTAAGCCCTGAATCCTACAAGGTCTACGACTTTCAACTCTAAACCCAAAGCCAGAGCCCTGAATCCTACAAGCTCTACGACTTTGAGTTCTAAACCCAAATCTTATAAGCCCTAAACCATAAACCCCAAAAGCCCCAAACCCAAAAATCCTAAACTCCTAGACCCTAAAGCCTAAACCCCTAGAGCCCTATATGAAACGACTCCACAGCCTAAGCGATCTAAGGCCACCTGGAGTTTGTGCCACTCCACAGTGCGATTCTCATCTTCCTGCGATCTGGTTACTTTAAGCCTTAAGGACGAAATGAACCCTAAACGGGTTTAGGGTTTAGGGTCTAGGGTTTAGGGTCTAGTGTTTAGGGTTAAGGGTTTGGGGTTAGGATTTAAGGGTTTAGGCTTCATAAACCACATAGGGATTCATAGTATAAGCGTATAGGGCCCCTACTTTTAAGGGTCATTTCGTCCTGAAGGAGTAAGGGCCTTTGTAGTTCGAAGCAGGTTAGGATTTAGGGATTAGGTTAGTTCGAACCAGTTTTAGGATTTAGGGATTCGGTTAAGTGAGGGGCGTTTTTCTTCCAACCAGGTTTAGGATTTAGGGATTTGGTTACCGTAAGGGCCTTTGTTATTTGGGCTCAATGGGATTCAATGTGTATACACGGCCTTGGCTAGCGGATTGGGGTTCAGGCGTAAGCCATAGTATAACTTTAGGCGGACTCAACGTGGATATTCTTTTACAATACTAACCGGTCAGACCTCACATAAGAGGGTTTCGGGGTTTCGTTCCAAGGCTGAGGAACAAGGGGATGTTCATCTTTTTATCTAATCAATAACGCAAACTGACGAAGCAGCTCCATATTATTCGTTCCCAGAGACTCCCAAACCCCTTAATTAAGGAACCTTAAATCTTGTTAGGGATCCTATTATAATTTAAGATATATTCCTTAATGAAGGGGTTTTGGAGTCTCTGGGTTACTTTGAGGTGTGTTTCTGTTTGCAGCACCAAACCCAAACGACGTCGCAGTTTCGTCTCTTGTGTGTGAAGTCGCTGGTTGTTAGGTTCGGCAGGTTGTTGAAGACCTTTGCTTACAGCCCGCAGCAGAACATTAGGGACCCGTTGAGGATGCCCCGTAACACTAAACCCTAAACCCAAAACACTGAACCCTAAACTCGAACCCTAAACCCCAAACCCTAAACCCTAAACTCTAACCCTAAACCCTAAACCCTAAACTCTAACCCGAAACCCCAAACCCTAAACCCTAAACTCTAACCCTAAACTCTAAACCCTAAACTCTAAATTCTGACCCTAAACCCTATAAGCCCGAGGCGCAGTAGAACATTAGGGGACCCTTTGAGGACGCCCCTTCACACTAAGCCCCAGGCCGCTTCCAATTGATCAAGGAATGCCCCCAAACCATACACCTCGGATACTGCCCCCACGTAGAAATTCAGGGTTCCCAAAGTAGGGCTAAGGGTTTTAGGGTTTAGTGATTAGGGGTCTGGGGGTTTTAGGGTGTAGGGTTTAGGGTGAATGTAGGTATATTCATAACATAGATAGTTTAAGGTTTAGGGTTTAGGTTAATATAGATATATTAGGCCCTTAATAGTACCCTTATTATAGGCTGCTACTGTATGGGGGCAGCACCCAACATAAACCCCTAAACCTACCACGAGCCCTTTGAGGAACGCTTTCAGGAACCTTTGAAGGAGCTCTTAGAGGACCGTTTGAAGGAACCTGTGGGGAGGAGCCCTTCAAACCCAAAGGGTCCTTATAAGTAGGTTTAGGGTTTAGGGTTTAGGGTTTAGGGTTTAGTAGAATGTAGGGTTCCCATAGTAGGGCTAAGGGTTTTAGGGTTTAGGGATTAGGGGTCTGGGGGTTTTAGGGTGTAGGGTTTAGGGTGGATGTAGGTTTCCCATAATAGGAATGACTATCATGGTTTGGTCAAGTATCCCCCATATGGGAGTTTCCGAAAATTGGGGTACCTTGTTTTGGGGTCCTGAATACGGATCCTACTATTTAGGGTACGATATTAGGGCCCCCTATTTTCGGAAACCCACTATAGGCACTTAGGACCCTTAAGGAAAGGCTTGCAGGAATCTGTCAGCAGCCCTCTAAAAGGGGCCCTTGAAGGATCGCCCTTTGAGGAGCCCTTTAATCATAGGGACGCTCAGGGGGGTAGGGGGCCTTAGTACCAGTACTAAGGACCTAATGAGGCGTATTCTAGGAAGTGTAGCCCCCTACCGCCTTATCATACGGGTGGCTATGATTTAAGGAGCCCTTCCAACCTAAACCCTAAAACCCTAACCCCTAAACCCTAAAACCCTAAACCCTATAACCCTATAACCCTAAACCCTAAACCCTAAACCCCAAACCCTAAAACCCTAAAGCCCCAAACCCTAAACCCTAAGGAGCA